TAATTGTGAATGTTGATTACCTTCCTTGGAAAGCCATTTATGTACTTATTCTTGTACCTGGTAAACAACAAATATATATATATATATATATTTTAATATTTTATTTTTATTTATTCATGAGAGACACAGAATGAGAGAAGCAGAGATATAGGCAGAGGGAGAAGCAGGCTCCCCGCAGAGAGCCCGATGTGGGACTCAATCCCAGGACCCCAGGATCACGACCTGAGCTGAAGGCAGACGCTCAACCGCTGAGCCACCCAGGTGTCCCAAAGACTGTATATTTTAACAGCTATTTTAGCTTCTTCAAAAAAGATTTGAATCAGGAGTGTTTTTATATGAGTGATGCAAACTTTTGTATTTTGTGATTTTCCCAGAAAAGCATGAAGTTTGGCTGAACATAACAAAACAAAGCAAAATCTTGCTTTGCTAAGCTCTGTATGGTCTTTGACCATATTAAAACTAGGCCAGGATACAGAATGTTAACTGTTTCGTGGAAATCCTCAGACCAAAGTAATATTGGTGCAAAGTGAAAATTCTTATTGGATTTAAACAGAAAGAAAAAATGGCAAGAAGGGAAAGGATTTTTTTAAAAAATGAGAAATTTTGCAATTCATGTTTGTTTAGCACTTCTTATGGGTCAGGTACTATGCCAGCTCCCTGGATTATATCAGTGAATAAAATCAGCAAAAATCTCCACCCTCCTTAGGCTTACATTCTCATGGGGGGACGGGCACTTGGGTGAAGGGAGAGAGACAGTAAATAACAAACATAACAAATAAGCTATATAATATGTTAAAAAGTGATATGTGCTAAAGATAAAAGAAAAGTAGAGCCAGGGAAGGGAAAATGTGTATGGAGGCAGGGTTATCTGGGAAGCTGAAAAGGTGACATTTGAGCAAAGACTTGAAGGAAGAAGGAAATGATCCCAACAAATCTTTGAAGAAAATGAATCTAAAGCAGAGAGAATCACTTCAGTGAAAGCCCTAAGGCAAGATTGTGTGTGATACACTCAAGGGACAGCAAGAAGATGAATGTGGCTGCAACAGAGGCAGGAAAGATGGGGAGAAGGGAAATGGGTTGGTGAGTAATGTGTCTAGGGGACGGGGTGGTGGTACAGCGCATCAAGAGACCTGTGGGCCATTGTGAAGACTGACTGACTCCCGATTGATCAAATTTCTTGTGCTTGCCTCTTTTTCCTCTGCCTTTTCCTCCTTCACCAAGGTCAACTTTGGTGCCTGGCATTTTTTCTTTTTAAAGATTTTATTTATTTATTCATGAGAGACACACAGAGAAAGGCAGAGACATAGGCAGAGGGAGAAGCAGCCTCCCCACAGCGTCCCTGAAGGGAACCCGATGCGGGACTCGATCCCAGGACCCTGGGATCACGACCTGAGCCAAAGGCAGAAGCTTAACCACTGAGCCACCCAGCCGTCCCCTGCCCAGCATTTATTTACCGAATGCTTGTCTTGATTTGAACAATAATAGGATTCTAAAGTTTCAGGAATGTGTTTCCACAATTTTCTTCTTCTCATCATTTCTCTTCAATCCAAAAATATGTATTGGGTTCCTAATGTGTGCAAAAGTATGTGTCAGGCACATTTGCAAAATAGAAGCTGTCGTCTACAGCCTCTTGACAGAATCTGGTCCTGCAGACCAGTATCAAGCACGACACAATACTCAGCGTTTTATTTATTAATTTTTAAAGGATTATTTATTTATTTATTCATGAGAGATAGAGAGAGAGAGAGAGAGGCGCAGAGGGAGAAGCAGGCTCCATGCAGGGAGCCCGACGTGGGACTCGATCCCAGGACTCCAGGATCATGCCCTGGGCTGAAGGCAGGCACTAAACCGCCGAGCCACCCGTGAATCCCTACTCAGCGTTTTAGATGTGTTAACTCACTCAGGCCTCCCAGCAACCTATAAAACGGATGCTGTTATTTTTTCCCTTTTTTTTTTTTTAAAGATTTTATTTATTTATTCATGAGAGACACGGAGAGAAAGGCAGAGACACAGGCAGAGAGGATAAGCAGGCTCCATGCAAGGAGCCCGATGTGGGACTTGATCCCAGGTCTCCAGGATCATGCCTTGAGCCAAAGGCAGATGCTCAACCACTGAGCCACCCAGGTGTCCCTATTTTTTCCCTTTTAAAGGTGAGAAAAATGAAGCATGGGACGATTAAATAACTTATCCAAGATATGTAGACAGCGAGCTACAGAACTAAAACTTGAACTCGGGTGTTTTTTGACTCCACAGTTTGGGTTCTTGACTGTTCACAGTGCAGCCTTCTATTGTCATGATCCTTCACAATACTCAGACTCTTTGAGATGTTTTCTTTATCCACTTGTTCATTCACCAAGTATTTATGACCATTCTCCTGTCTTCTCAGTGCTGTGCGGCACCGTGGAGACAGGGCCGCCGCAGGCCTCTATGATATCTTCGTGTGAATTAGAAAAATGTGTCTGTTTCTGAAGGCAGGAATAGCCTTTACTTTCTTCTGGTGGAAAGTTCCTGTAATATTCTGATCTTTGAAGAGCAAGACATCTGACTGCCATTGTTGGAAAATGGTCATAATAAATGCACAAATTTGTTTGCAGGTGCAAAAGTAGAATATATATGAAAGCCAAAATAGTAAAGGTATTTATGATGTCAATAGCATCCCTTAGATGTGGGGATGCCCTTGTGAAGTGCACAACATGAAGTGCTGTACATGACTCCGCGATACGAGCCACATAAAAGAAAACATTGCTCCCTGGACATGAAAAATACAACACTCATAGTAGGTCAGAAAACTCATTTATTTTCTGTGAGACCTTCTGGGGCTTCCTTGATAGACTCTTTCAAAAACTTCCAAATGAACGTAAATAACTCAGCAATGTTGAAAATTAGTATTTGAACGGTAATAAGACACCAAAGTTTTAGGGAGCATATTCTTGCCATTCTTTTAGGATCATCTCTTATTTTTATCGATTCTATTCAGTTAAAAAACAAACAAACAAACAAACATGTGCTGAATTCTGACCAAATACAAAATTGCACGGCAGGCATATTTCTAAAAATATGGACCGTAGCCTGTTGGGCATAGACCATGTACTGTGAGGCGCTAGAGCACTATTGAACTGTACACGAGGCGAACTTTTTATAGTATTTATATCCATCACAACTGACATTAGTCAGTTACCTACTTAGAAGAGGATTTTCTCTCATCAGGATCAGAGCATGCCTGTGCCATTACTTTTATATTAATTAGCACTTATCCTCAAAAGATTTTAAGGTATGACTGGTTATTAATTGCATCTTCACAAATAATAGAAAAGGAGGTTTGGGGAGGCTAATAGTAGGGCCGGGTTCAGTCAGGAGTTTCTGACTCCAAAGCCCACCATGCCAGGCTGCCTCCCAGCACATGGTGGGAGGATGACCTACTCCCGAGCCCCTTGAAGGTTGATAGAAAAATCAGAGGCGATGGTTACGGAAGAGAACACGCAGCCAGAATGATGGACTCGTGACCCTACCTGTGCCAGATTCCAGCCTGCTTACGTCTACCCAGACCAGGCACAGCTCCCATTGTTTAGCAGCCAATTCGAATGACTAAACTCTGAACTATAATTTCAGATATATGCAAAATGGTTCCAGAATTTGCTTCAGGGGTCATTAGATCCCGTTCCTTCTCCATGTATACTGCTTCTAATCTTAGATACTGTTCTTCTGAAAGGGTAATTTGAAGATATCAGGGGGTATGAAATAAGAACAACAAGCACCTATTGAAAGTTAACCGGGTGCCAGATACTACCGTGAGAGCTTTGTTCTAGTCTCATTTAAGAAGTGAGAATCAGGATTTTTGTTTTGTTTTGTTTTTTTGTTTTTTTTCCTGAGAACAAATATTAAGAGCTTAGACTCAACTTGGAAATATATCTGGGGCTGAAAGTTTAGGTAAAGGAATGAGTATAAATGAATTTTTCTACCTCAAAGCCTCCCATGTAGCAACGTGGCCCTGACGGCATTGTCAACAACCCAGCGGATGAGACATTTCAGCCACTTAGGAAAGTTGTTATAGCTTCATATAATTCCTTCTTCATTCAAATGACCATTTATTTATTTATTATTTTTACTTACCCATGTAGTCTCTAAATGACTAGTTTGAGAAAGAAACTCTTGGGGATATCATCACAAAGAAAGTAAGACTTTCTCGAAGCTGATAAAAATCATTTTTACAATTTTTTTTATTAGTTTCTTTTCTTTAAAAAAAAAAAATCTGTGTCTATGCTGTTTCCCCTACCCTATCGTAAGCCCCTCAAGAACGGGAGCTAGGTTTTTCTACTTCTTTGAGATTTTTAGTGTTTACCCTTCCACTTGGCTCACGGAAGAGACTTCATTCATTTACTAACTAACTGATGATTTTTCGAGCACCTACTGTATGTCAGGCAGTGGACTTGGGTGAGGGAGTACGATGGCAAACTGGGTGTAGTTCTTACAAAATTGTCACTGTTGGAGAGAAGCCAGATAATAAATAGGCAATTTCATGAGGTACAAATACAGTTTAGGGCGATATAGGGGTGCTCACCGGAATAGGGGGATACTGAACTCAATCTAAGCTGGCCAGGAAGAACTTTCCAGAGAAGGTGACAAATATTCTGAGGTCATAAAGAGAGTGATAGTTAAGAGGGGAAGGGGCAGGACAGGTGAAGTTTACCAGAGGAGCCAAGGCCTTGAACCCACCAGCAAGGGTTCTTGCTGGAACTCACAGTATCTCATCATGGTTAGATGGTGAGATCTCACCTGAGGAGAGTGGGGTGGCCAGCAGGAGACAGCTCACAAAAGGAACTCCACCAATGTTTGTTTCTGATGCTCCTGGGGCTGTTGGTAGGTGACATGATTACAGCTGGAATCCGTATAGGTGTGCCTAAAAAGCAGGTGTCTACACAGGCCAGTCATCATGACAAACACCAAGTGCCTCTCACCGAGGACAAAACAAAAGGTGTTCTCATTACCAGTTGAGTCAGAGCGCGGGGCAAAACGGGTGAAGAACCCAGATGTTCTCTTTCTTAACCGGATGCTATCACTGTTGGCGTATTAGGAGAAAGGTGGAATCTGCTCAGGTAGGTGGATATTTTCAGATTCTCCAGCCTTGTTTGGCTACATCATCTCTGTGACCTTTAGAGAAACCGGATCCTGAATCTCAGAAACTACCCACCCATACATGAGCAAAATCGCTTTTGTTCTATTTGCATTTCTGCAAATGAAGCATCATCCGAGGGCATCTATCCCATCGCGGGGAGCTTTTGCTCCTCTCAACCTTTCCTGGCTCCGAAAGCGTTTCTCCCATCTGAGCTAGGTACTGAACTTTGAAGAAGAGTCCACTGTAATAACAGTAAAGTTTAATGATGCATAACTTTGAGAGACTGACAAATTTCCAGCCAAAGTATTGATTCTTACAGAATTTATGAAGCACATGCTGTATTCTGTGTCATTATGGTCCATTTTTGGCTGAAAGAATCATGTAAAATAGATTTTTAAATGAGTGGTAATAGCCAGACATAAAGAAGGTATTGATGTGTGTCATGAAGGGTGAAATAGCATGCCAGATTAAAGCATATAACAAATCAAAAACAACAGTACCCTCCACTCCTACAAATATAAATTTGCTTTTCCTTTTAATCACCCCTTCTGTGTACCACTTTGCACATTTGCAATTTCCTTTCTTACACAACTCTTCCGAAGAGCGTTAAGAATGTGTAGAATTTTTGCATAGTTGCCCACGTTGCTTTGGGGGATACTAAAAGTTCAGAAACATGGTTGCTTAAATTTGGCAAAGTAATTGCTCTTCCATGTAAATACTGCCCTTTGTAAATAATGCTAAAAGCTTATACTCTAATCTTTATTGCTTGCCTATAAATGGAATATTTAGTGGATCAATATTTAGATACCTGTATCAATTCAACGATTTTAAAATAATACCGGAAGATGTTATCTGTTTTTCAGAAGCATAAAAGTGGATTTTCCTTTATAACTTCCAGCTAAGCTCTTCCTTGTGCTCGAAAGAGCTCATGGATGACACTCCCCTACCTCCAACTTGTTTTGAAAAAGTATCAGATTTGTTCCTGTGGTCCTCCGCTGCCTGTTTGTGCCCTGCTCATCTTAATGCCTGTTATGAATTAGTTTCTCAAGAAACAATTGAAATGTAAGTCTTCTTCTCCTCCAGTCTGCATTTTGTTTTGACACACTGGGGGAAAAGTGGCTTTCAAAAAGAGTAATTTAAACTTTGATTTTACGCTTCACTTTGGAATACATGTTTATTAAATGCGTATCTCACCGACAGAGTAATCAATACAGATTGTGTAGTACATTAGGAGGAAACCATGTCTGAGATTATTAGAAAAATTAAATGCTTTTAGTTTTGCTTACTTGAGCAATATGGGAAAATTAACAGTTTAAACCCTTTCAGGTATCTGACCAGACTTAGCCTTAGTCAGAACTCACACTACTGTGGCTGAGCTTTCTGTCTTGTTTTTTTTTTTTTTTTTCCCTCCCCTCTCCTGCCCTTCTCTCCCCTCCTTTCCCCTGGCCTTCTCTTTTCCTTTCTTTCTCTTAGCAAAGCTGCATTTACCCTATCTGGTTAGCAGTCACCTCGAGAACATGGAATAACTGAAATCCTAATGTTGAAGACTAACATTGATACACAAATATCCGCATTGGGATGGGACCACAGAAAGAAAATTGACAGAGTGGCTCTGGTTTTCTCTGAAAAGGATTTCCATCACATTCCAGAAACCTTGTCAGAGTCAGAAAGAGAGGTCTCGCAGGTCTGACTGTGCTGGGGACCAGTGGATCCCAGTCACAGATCTATCTTCCCCCCCAGCCAGAAGCCCCATGAGAATAAACTGAATCCTTTTTTTTTGGAAACAGCTGCTTTTCAACAATTCAGGAGTTTATCAGCCTAATAAAAAAGTAACTTGGCAGGAAGAAAAAGGCTGAACATCTCAATAGGCTCTTCTCGGGCCCTAGTGGAGCCTGAAGAACACTTCAAGGTCTTAGTCAACATGAACAGAGGAGCTGGGATGAGCACCCTCATCCATACCACAAACAAGCTCCCTAGAGACCCAGAGAGAGGTCAGTCTTTACATAAACATTTTTCCCAGGCCTCAGGCAAGTAAACTCAAATAAAATCAACCAAGTCCCGGATGGAGGGTTAGAACAAAGGCTCAGGAACCAGGAAAGGGAGACCCTCGCCTCAGGACCAGGTCCCACCAGCAGCGCCCATGTACAAACTGCATTTAACATAAGGTGTTGCAGTTCACGGTGTCTACGTTCATAGCTTTTTCCAAGTGGACTTTTTTTTTTTTAAGAACAATTTCTAGTTTAGCGGATGGATGCGCTAGAAGAAATAAAATTTTAGAAAGGTATAAATTTTGGAAGCAATTCTTAAAAATGTAGCCGCACTCAAAGACACTTGAAATGCAGAAGTTGTTATTCATCTTTGGATCTTAATTTCCTCTTTTTTTACCCCCAAATCCCAGTGTTTGTTAGACACTCTAGGCAGACTATAGACATACAACGTGTCCATAAGTGTACATAATTGTAGCATTTGGTTGTGACAAACTAGTTTTACTAAAATGGAAGATTTAATAGATGAAATGAGGAACTATGTCAATGTAATAGCATATTAGATTTTGCAAATGAGCTATTCCTAAGGCAACAAGAATTGCTTTGCTTTTATATTTCCACAATTGTTCGTTCACTTGACAACTAACATTCAGAATCCATCTTTGATCTTGGAGGACTCACACTAATCAAAGTACAATAAATCCTTATACTTAGGAACATAAAATGACACCGTCAGAGTCCTTGGCCTGTAGGATACGCAGACCCACCCAAGCAAGACCTGATGTCCCGGCTAGCTTTATAGAGGCGTGGGAGGCGGTCAAACTTGTCTCCAGGCCTTTCAGCGTTGCTCTCTGCCACATTTCCCAGCCAGGGTCAGGGATCCCAAGATTCTAATGACCAATCATGGAGGATTTGTTATGTGCCATACATTTACACTGGTTGTTACTGGGCCTTACATCAGCTTGCAGGATCAGTATTTTATTTCCATTTCACAGATACGAAAATGAGGCCCATTAAGTCCAACTATTTCCAAGGGGCAGAGCTGGATTTCAACCCCACGTCTGACTTCAAAGCCCTTCCTTAAGCTCATGACATCATTATGTCTCATCCTGAGACCTGAGACTTCCAGGCGGAGTTCACGCCCAAACTTGTTCTTCTTGTTTTGGCTCCTGATTCTCTTTGGCTTTGGGACTTTGGGGCTTTGGAATATAGACAGGTTTTTTTTTTTTTTTTTTTTTTTTTTTGGTGGGGGAGTGGGAAACAGAAGGGGGGAGGGGGTGGGAAGTGGGAGAAGGGAGATTGAGAAATGGAAGGCATACATGGTTCTACTTCTATCAACTTATTACTAGAATTCTATTTAGTTTCTGACGGGGACCTTTGGAAACGATACCTTTACCCAGAGGACTTGTTACAGGATAAATTTAAAGCAGCATAGCATATTGTTGATCACGCAGACAACATGACTGCCAATTCAGCGTACTGTTAAGATTAGCCATTTGTGTTGGCTCGATGATGTTGTGAAAACTCCTGTTAGCTTCTTGGAACTACAAAACATGTGATGAGAAATCTTCCTTATTTTGCTTTGTGACTATCTGCCATTTGATTTTCACTCTAAAACATAAACTGACATCTCTCGGGTCTGTAACAGAATTCTCCCATTGTGAATAAGTCCCCCAAAACACACTTGGTTGGCAGAGCAGCCCAATGATCTGTGAAAAATCACCAGGAATCAATATTGCCATTAAAGACTCCTTTGTGAAATTTACTGGGTGACTTTGGGCAAGCCACTTAACCTCCCTACACCTTCAAATATAAAATGGTCATTATGAGGATCAAGCGAGATAATTTCTACATAAAAGGGCTTTACAAATTGTTAAGTATTATACAAACGTTAAGGGCCTTTCTGGGCATCAGTCTTAATCTGATTCATTCCTTCCTGAGAAGCAATCTGGCAATAGAAAGGCCTTGACTTGAGTCTTCCATCTGTGATATCCTTTTGACCCTACCCTTTAAGGGAAGAACCAAGACTCCTAGAATTCTCTCTGTAATTTACCGCAGCTCTGCCAATAATCATATGTCATGAGCGCTGAACATTTTCTCCTTGGATTTCCTAATCCTGATTAAATGGTAAATCCTGAAGTTATTAGGTAGCAAAGGCTCATTTATCAAATCCTTAGAAAGAAACTTCTCTTCTTGGAATTTTTTTCCATCTCCTCTCACTTAGCAGTTTATCTTTTATAATCACGGATTGCTGTCTAGGCAGTCTACTTGAGATAGGAGGCAGGGAGTAATAGACCCATATGAGTAATGATAAATGAAGATCTCTCTCTGTTCCTTTCTTCTCATTTGCCTCCTTACATTTGGGGTAACAGGTACCTCTCATGCCCATTCATGATTCTTTTTCTAAAAGTACCTTAGTGCCCCCTGCAGGTTATATGAGTTTCTCCTCCCACAATCTTGTTTATACTTCGGTTTTTTGTTTTCTTTCTTTCTTTCTTTCTTTCTTTCTTTCTTTCTTTCTTTCTTTCTTTCTTTTTTTTTTCCTTTTTTAACCCTCTCCTGAAACAGACTAGTGCTAGGTTTTTCTCAATGGTGCTAGAATCTGCGAGGGTTGTTATTTACAGTATGCTCTCAAGTACTCAGAAAAATGAATCAGCAGTGGGGTGATTTCGATCTCATGTGCAATTTGAGGCTCATAACGGATCCTACTTGGCCTAACATGGGTTGCCATGAGACTGTCGACTATGGGCGACATTCACAGGTGGGAATCTGAAGACTAAAAGGCCAACTAACTCTGCAGGGCTTCCAAAACTAGCTTGGCAATGGTTTCAGGGCTAGAACTCAGGTCTTCCAGGGTTTATTCAAGTACGCTTTTCTTTATTGTGTTTTGAATAGTTTCTTTTCCCTGTTTTCAAAAGTATCTGTGTTGTCCTCCAGTTGTATATCTCAAAAACAGAACCCTAAGAGCTATAATGTCATCCACTGGCTTCAGTAG